GGCAAGAGGGGCCATGACATGACTGAGCGGAGCTGATCCCCCAACACAGCCAGGAGGGGGTGCTCCAATAGTGAATGAACCTTTCAAGGGGGTGCTGTGGAATCCTGATCATCAGAGGTTTTTAAGAACAGGTTACACATCTATCTGTCAGGGATAGCTTAGGTTTACTTAGTCCTGCCTCAATGCAGGTGGCTGGACTTGATGACTTCTTGAGGCCCCTTCCAGCCTTACACTTTTTGATTAGATGATTTTCACACCCCAAAGATGTTAAGTACTTTTAAAATTAATCCCTGACAAACATTTAGCTGTTTAGTAGTTTAACACATTTTGAAAACTCACTTTGTTCACCATACAACACATAATTTTGAGTGTATGCTGGTACTTTTGACCATACACAGAATAAAAATGTGACTCCCCCCGCCTTTTTTTGGTCTGAAGAAAGCAGTATTAAACCAGAATGAAGGATTTGTTGATGTTGCTTAAATAATGTTTTAATCTGGCCTTGATATAATGCAGTTTTTATGGTTCACTTGCAAGAAACCAAACTTGTTGGTAGGTTTTGTTTTGTTTGTTTCAGTAATTACGATAGCAGGCTGCAATCCCCTTTACAGCATGCACAGATTCAAATGATAAAGGCTAGGGATTAAGCACAGCCGATTAACAGTCTGTGTCCTCTACAATCTAGCACTCCCACTGTAGCTAAACCCATATTCAGACTGAAGTTATAATAAAAAGACTGTCCTCAATATCATTTCCCTAGTTGACCTCCTCAAAACTGTCATTCATATCTTCTTGCAGAAAATTACAGGTTCTAGCAGAGAAGAGCCAAATATGTCTGTGTTTATATTATACATGTATTTTTGTGTATTCAGAAGCTGAAGTGAGATACCTACAGCTGCTGCCTAGGTAGCAATTTGAGATAAAAAGCTAACTTTTAATGCAAAATATACAGCTGTATTTTGAATTGAATCATTTTAAATAGCATAAGTAGATCTGGCGTTCAAACCACTATTAGAAAGAAAAGCATTTTACTACTGACATCTATGTTTACAACTAGCATCCATCAATATTGTTAAAATCACCGCACTGTTAGTATTCAGATCCATCATGAAGATACAGAACTGTAATGATACTCTTCCTCTCTTCTTTTCTTCAAATGATGGGCAACAAAATCCAAGAGAATTTCCCCAACTCTTGCAGTCTCTAATTGAGGCATTATTGTTATGAATGAGTCAGTACACATTAAAGGGCCTCCGCACACACAGAAAATGTCTGCATGGACAGATTTCAGAACTAGTCTGCTAGATATTTCTCTTTGATTTGATTCCTACAGGTTACTCTTCTCCTGAGGAAAAAGTGTATTATTTTTGGTTGTGGGAGAAGGGGAATAAAAATTAATCTTTACGAATTAAACTGTTTGGAATGTTTCTAGAAAGACAATTTCAATTTAGAGAGGATTTTCCATTGCTATTCTGCCTGCTATTTTCAGAAACATTAAAAATATAGTATCCTGTGATTAGTAATAAATTGTAAATCCATTCTCTCTGGCAAGATTTAAATTCAATGCTGTAGTTAAAAACCAATACATTGTAATTGAGCTTTTTAAATTATTTACCTAGCTACACTACCTACATTTTAACTTCTATAGATTTTATACATTTTGATTTATTGAATCTCTTAAACATTTCAGCAAAAGTTATTCAAATTAATTTATTATTAATGAATAATAATATCTGCCCAGTTCATGGGCCTGATTCTGGTCTTACTCACATTCATTTTACATTGGTGTAATTACACTGAATTCAGTGGGGTCAGTCCTAATTTACATTAATGTAGATGAGAGCAAACCACAGCCAAGCCTTGTAAGCTTTGCAATTCTTCATTCCAAATGCATAATCAGAGTAGAGATTTCTGCGTTTACTGAATCAATCTACACAAGAAGTAAATGACAGCACACGCAATATAGCCAAGTTGCAAAACTGTGCTGCATTTTGATTAGCAACTAGTATTGGGTTTGAAGGAGATGCAACATCACACAGGACCACAGTTGATGCATTACAGAAGCACAGCAGTTTCTTTTCACTGAAATTGTCAAAAAGAGAGACACAAAATTATTCAGATATGTTTCAGTCTCAGAGCATTAATTGAGTTTAGATGAGTCTGTCCATCTTTTCTCACATACACAAAAAGTCTCAGGGAACTTGTAAAGAAATCTGTACTTGAGAAAGGATTGAAAATGTGAATTTAACTCAGTCATTCATTTTCAGACCTCTACTTCAAAAACTAATTTCATGGTCTGTCTCCATAACAATATAGCTTTTTTCTGTCGGCTAAGATTCATATAATGAAGTGTAATGTGTTTAATCAGATTCTATGGACTACAACATAAAGCAATTTACCTTTAGTATGATTTGGCAACAGGCTAGCTTAGAAGATAGGTCAGTTCACTTTAATCATGTTTATGAGCAGACAGTTGCATATTTACTAAGTGAAAAACATTGAGTTAGATTTAACTAGTGATAATTAAGATAAATGGTACACATTTTTTTTAGAATGTCTGACTCTCCTCACAAGCTTACTGAAAATACCTGTCATGATGCACATGAATAAGTTCACATACAACTCAACAGAGAACAACAAAGGTGTATTGGACGCTGCCTACTCACTGTCCCCATATGGTGGCATTTTTTGGTGAGAGGGAAGGTTTGGACTCCTAATAGCCATCCTTCTTAGCACTGGAGTCTAGTCCTAATCTTTGTATAAAAATGCCATTTTTCCCCACAGAATTAAATGGGCATAAAACTAACCATTAATAAACTGCTACACAATGACATTTGGGGGTTCTTCCACTTTATGAGGTAACAACAATATACTTGGTTTAAAACCTTGCAAGATCAGAGGCTGAGTAGTTTATTAGTCTAGGGTTTGATTAGGATATAGTAGACATGCTCGATTTTATTATTATTTATTATATAGACATTTGAATTAAATATTCAAATTTTAAAAGAGAAGAATTCAATAATATGATGTGCCAGACTGCTGAAAGGTAAACAGGCTTAACCAAAAAAGCAATACCATTGTTGACCTTTGTTTTCACACTTCCAATCTTTCCTCCTGGTTCCTTCACATGAGCAAAATTCCTCTCTCCAGAATAACTGCAACAACATATTTGCCTACATTGTGCTTTAAAATGAGATTGGGACAGAAGCACTGGGGGGTTCTTCCAGTATGAATAAATAAGACCTTGTCTTACAGCCCTGACTTACAGAGTTGTCCTATTGACTAATTAAAAGCTGCAGGATAAAACCCACAAAATAAACAAACACATGAGAGTTACTCTGAAGACGTTCTAGTCAACTGCTGGAAATGGCCCACCTTGATTATCACTACAGAAGTTTCCCCCCACCCCCGCACTCTCCTGCTGGTAATAGCTCACCTTAAGTGATCACTCTGGTTACAGTGTGTATGGTAACACCCATTGTTTCATGTTCTCTATGTATATAAATCTCCCCACTGTATTTTCCACTGAATGCATCTGATGAGGTGAGCTATAGCTCACCAAAGCTTATGCTCAAATAAATTTGTCTCTAAGGTACCACAAGTACTCCTTTTCTTTTTGAGAATTCAGACTAACAAGGCTGCTACTCTGAATTCTGAAGACCAAGACGCATCTGGACATCTAGGAATAAGGAGAGGGGTTTGGAGGAAGGAGGGAAATAAGAAGAAATGTTCAGCTCCCTGCAGACACATGCCTTTTCTTTTAAGACATTTTCCCTTTCAGTAACGCAACTGTTTTTTTCCTTTCACTAGTCCAACCCCCCCACCCCCCCATCCCCAGTATCTTATGCATTTTTTTAGTATTCTGCTTCAGCTGAAGGGAGTGGGAAAGTAAGTCAGTATGTTTATTGCTGGCAAACAGTTTGGAAAATTCTAAGTACAGAAGCCAATCAGAGCAGAGGGATTATGGTAGCCAGAGTACCAAGATTTGCATGTTCAGAGTACGCTTACTGAGAAAAAACAATACCATGATTATGCAAATCAAACCCCCCCACAAATAGAGAAATGGATTTGCATATCTGGGGAAATCTGTACAGTTATTCATCAGTAAGTAACTGCAGTGGATGAAACAATTGGCTTCAGCAGAATATTATTATCGTTCCCTTGCAATTATTCCTTATCCTGTAATACTGAACAAACATTAGTGAGTTGGTGTTTGGTCAAAAGAAGCCTTGTCTTCAATGGGACTTGCTGTCACTCAACACATCTCAAGAAACATTCTGTGCACCTCACAAAAACAGCGAGAATAAGGAGGTTCACAAATTTGTGTTACCAAAGCAAACATTTGTTATACTGATGACTGGTGTAGAGTAATAATCTCAGAGTTTTTTGCTGAAGAGTAGATGAGGGTAAAAAAGGGCATTTTCATAGGATGTTCTTGCATAATATATCCAGCGATTGCTCCATTTTATATTTAGTGAATGAATGATATAAAACTTGACTAAAAAGTGCTAAATAGTCACAGAATCTTCAAGTTGCAGAACTTGAGCAATCCTTTGCTGATTAAAATCAAACAAATTTAAATGTAATTTCAGAAAGTATTATAATAAACCAAAGAGAAAGGGAAATTTCTATAAACAAACTGTTTTCCTTAAAAAAAAATTGTAGTAGTATTTGTATACTTCAGTTGTGTGCTAAAATTATATTGTTTCTAGAGGATTGTTTTATTTGTTTGCCATAACCTTTGGGATTGTGACCCATTTGTACACTGGCCAATGCCTGCAAATAAAACTGCAATTTGGTGACACAAAGCTCTATAAAAATGAATTCATGCAAGCATGCTTAATTGATATAACATTTGCATCTAATGAATATAAAGAGAAACAGTTCAGTTAAATAGATAACATAGAGGAAGTAGAATGAAGTATAAAGCCAGTATCGAAGCTACTCATCATTTGCCCAAATAGCGGGCGGGTTGGTTTGTGATTGAATAAAATACTTACCATCCTCAGTGGGCACATAGATATTCAAATAAAGGCAATCTTCATTTTGATCTTGCACGTATGTCACAACGGTATCCAAATTGGCAGTAAACCAGACCGGCAGCATGTCGTTGAGCAGTGACCTCTCATCCAGGTACTGAGGGCAGACAGCAGCAAACTGTGTGGCATTCCGAACGCCAGTCCATGAGGAGGGAGGTTCTGGGGGCTGGAATCGCCTCTCCCCAGTTGGAGGGGAGGCATAAGGAACTCCCAGGTACTGCTCCACCGGGCCGAGGATCTCATTGGGCAAAGGTGTTCTTAGGCCACGTATTTTGCCATAATTTGTGGTAACAACAGGGTATTGTGCTTGGCCATCAATGAGGGTAAATCTTATAGCTAGTGCAGTTATCCACAAAAGGAAGTTAGAATTCAACATGACACAGACTGGGGTGAAGATCAAAGGCAGCCATAGGAGTCCCATTGGCCTTGACATTGTTTATATCAACATCAGCAGGGCTCTGTCTTCCGCAGCCAGGGAGACAAAGGGAGATGAAGTGAAAGGCAACACGTAATATTTTCAGGTAGTGAAAAACCTAAGGATGAGTGTGGTTGGTGCCTCAGATGATTGACCATAGACAGATTCCAACGTTAGGACAACCAAGGGAGTCCTCGTCCCTAAGGCCCATCCCCAGGCTCCAATGCTGGTTTAATCCTGGTGGTACTTCCCAGCAGGCCGAGAAGGAGAATGTGGTCAGCAGTCACTCTGCTTCATTGGCACAATGATTCCTTCCAATAGATTCCAGCTAGATCAATTAGCCTATAGCCAAGAGGAAGCAGAGAATTTAAATTAGTACATTTATTAACATTGATCAAAACTGCAATATTTTTTTACACTTATACAGTGTCTTTCATACCAGGGTTTCCATGTGTTTCATGAATTTTAGTCACTTCTATGAGAGGAATATTACAGTAAATCCCTTTTGAAGATGGAGGTAAAGAGGCTTGCCCAAAGTTACAGAGCAAATCAGTGGCAGGACTGAGAAATAAATCCAGCTTTCCCAATTTCCAGTCTCTTGTCCATGTCACAGATTCTCAGCCCCCATCAAATCCAAACATGCCTTGACTGTTTCATCAAGGTTACCTTCCATGCACGTGCCGGCTCTGCAACATTTGCTAGCCTAGACAAACTGGAAAATGTGCATCCCTTCGCACTTCCACTCAAATAAAGCATATTTACTAAACATTTTGCTGCACTAGATAATCTCCTTCTTTTGTCCATGTTATGGTGATTAAATGTGATTACTTATTATTACCTCAAGGATGAAACAAAGGAATATAAAGAAATAAGGTATACCTGTAATTTTTATTTATAAGGATAAACAAAATTGTTGACAAAACAAATTTATCTTCCACAGACATATTAAAAGAACAGCTGACATACAGAAAGGGAATACAGCAGAGTTCAGGCAGTATATGATCTGAGTTGCAGTAGGTCAACATATTGTTTTTTAAAATGTAATATAAAGGTTTTTAAACTATTATGTATATCCCATTTCTCTGAAACATAAGCAGCACTATACAGAAGAAAGCTGAGAACCTAGATGCATGATTCGGCTCTCACACTGGCTTTTCTGCTAGTGCAACTCCATTAGCTCCATTGGAGTTACTCTTGAGTTGCACTGATGGATCAGAACCAGGTGCTGGATCATAAGAGCATAAGAACTGCCATACTGGGTCAGACCAATGGTCCATCTAGCCCAGTATCCTGTCTGCAACAGTGGCCAGTACCAGAGTTTCATGGGAAGTGTACAGAACAGGGCAATTATCAAGTGATCCATCCCCTGTTGTCCAGTCTCAGCTTCTGGTAGTCAGAGGTTTAGGGACAACCAGAGCATGGGGTTGTGTCCCTGACCATCTTGGCAAATAGCCATTAATGAACCTATCCTCCATGAACTTATCTAATTCTTTTTTGAGCCCAGTTATACTTTTGTCCTTCACAACATCCTCTGGCAATAAGTTCCACAGATTAACTCTGTGTTGTGTGAAGAAAAATTTTGTTATTGTTTGTTTTGAACTTGCTGCCTATTGATTTTATCTGGTGACCCCTTGTTTTTGTATTGTGGGAAAAGGTATATAACACTTCTCTATTCACCTTTTACACACAATTCATGATTTAACAAACCTCTATCACATCACCCTTAATCATTTCTTTTCTAAGATGAACAGCCCTAATCTTTTATTAGTCTCTCCTCATATGGAAGCCATTTCATAATCTTGATCATCATTTGTTGCCCTTCATCTTTATAAGTGATGATCACTAGTTACCTCAAGATATGAAAGAAAGAAAGAAAGAAAGAAAGAAAGAAAGAAAGAAAGAAAGAAAGAAAGAAATACAAAGAAACAGGGCACACCTGCATAGTATATAACAATTGTATTTATCTTTAATGAAAAGGTAGTGTCCAAATATATATGCAAACAATTGCTGAGATGAAAGAAACTCATACAACATATTTGGGGTTTTTTTTTTCAGAAGATGTTCCCTTCCAGTGTTAGAGAGCTGTGTAGCTATTAACATTGATTGTAAATCAGCAACAATTAAAGAGCTATCAGTGTAACTGCCTTTGCATAAAGCAAGAATTCTGAAAGGAATCTCATCCTTTCTTTAGAATATCCATCTTTAATGAAGGGTAGGGGGGAACCCACCAGATTAAGAGGGAACCATAAACAATTTACAGTTCAAAAATCTGAGAAGTAGCTGAACACCCGGTACAAGATATGTTCAAGACACAGTTGTTGCCAAAGGGCTTGCAATCTAAACATGCCTTTTCTAAACATTTTTAGAAAGAAGAATCAATGACAGCCCTAAGCAAGAGTCTAACCAGAAATTCCCGTACCTGTATACTCTCTCCCTCCCTGTTCTGCTGCTCCGTGGCTTTCTCTTTGTTGTAACAGTGTGCAACAGCAGTACCTGTGGATACCTGCTATAGCTCCCTCACTCTCTCTTAGCCTATTAATTTCACAGCCCATGCAGCAGGCAGCAGAGCTATCATCCATAGTCTACTGCAGCTTGATGCTACATTCAGAGAGCAGCAGCAGCGCCTCTTGCCTAGGCCCTGCACTGGGAAGGTCACTGGCATAGTTACAAGAACAAGAAGGGGCACTGGCAACTGGGGAGAAATAGTAACAATGGGGATATTGAAGAATGGAAAAGTGAAAAAGACTTGGGTGGTAACAAATGGACGGACAGGAAATCAGAGTTGGGGTGGGGACAGAGACAGAGACAGAATGAGGGGCAGAGAGAAAGACAAAATAAAACAAGAAAAGTAAGTCAGGGGGCATAATGAACAAGAGGAAGGGAAACAATGCCATGGAAAGAAATAGAACTAACAGACAACTTTAAAAATAATGGGGCAAGATCCTCAGCTGCTGCAAATCAACGTAGAGATACTGAAATCAATGTATACCATTTGCATAGCTGGCCTAGTAAATAACTATATATCAATTTTCTTCTCAGACCTGGAGGCAGGAGCACCAAAGGATTCCTCGCCTATGGCAGTAAAGCATCTAAAGCTGGTTCTGGATGTTCTGAAACCATAAACAGAAGGTTTCCCCACCCCCCTTCTGTTTTGTTTTTCCTTTCGAGTAGACGGTAGGAGTAAGTATAGAATGCATGTTTCTGCTATGCAAAAAGCTTAGAGTTTAGAGTCCAATTGTATACATACACATGTGTGTGATAGCTACTATCTTGGTCAACACACTGGATATTGAATAGGGGAACTCCAGAGCAGAAAGCATGAACTTCTACAACTAGAGCTAAAGAACCAGGCCCTGAAGCTACGGCTATAACAGATCCACATCCTCTATGGAATGGGCAAAAAGTTGGACAAGCTACACATAGCGACCACAGTGTTACACATAAACACCACATAAAAGCAATTATAAGACAACGAATTGACACAGTAAACCCACTATATATCTTGCATGCTGTAGTTGTTAAGCATTAGCTCTATTACCTTACTAAAACTGCAATAGAAGCAGAATTCTTTTTTTGTACTACATGACTGTCACATGCAACTCTACCTAAGTTTAACCCCACCCACCATAAATGATTGTTTATTAATGACTTGTTATGCTGTACTTAAATATTAAGAACCTTTTGAAGAAGAAGCCTACTTAAAATATGTTCAGGATAGTTTTATTATATTATTTTCAATGAAGGGGGTAAATCCCACACTTTTCAACGTCTGATCTTACTGGATTTCACTGTTATAAGAAATACTGATTTGGAAGCCTGATCTGCTAGTAATTAAACTATTTGCTTCATCGAATATAGCATCTTTCTTTTTTATATTATTTAAACTGCAGCATATTTTTCAAAAAGAGTATAAAATGATCACCTTCCAACATACCCAGGAAAACATGTATGCTAGTTATATTATATGCATGTACTAAATGTATACATTTACACTTTTAAAGAAGCCAGAAGATCTGAATAAAATGAGTGAGAATTGCAAGCTGTATTTATCTTATTCAATGCAGAACTGCACCTGAGGGTAAAAGGCTTTCTTTTTATCTGGGATAAAATGACTTTAGATATTTTACCATTGGACAAATCAATCAGAGGAATGTCTATAAGCATGGGGTTGACTGTTTAATATGTCTGCCTGCATACATACAATTTAAGGGAAAAAAAAGAATATGTTCTTGTCATTATTTCTTATTACTCTTCTTAATTATTTGCTTTGGGGTAGGTACTTTGAGCCACAGATATGGACCAGAGCCAGGCAAGGCATTACAGACAAACAGAAGAAAACAAACAAACACACACACAAAAACAACACCCTGGCCCAAAGAGCAGCAATGGCAGTGGGTCCCTTTCATCCCATCACTGAATGCCAAGGTGGGTGAACCGGGGAAAGTTTCTTCTTCTTAAACTGAAATAATTTGTTTATTACTATTTGTTGTATGGACGACAATGATGATCATTTGAAGAAAAAATATGGGGATAGCTGTGGGCAGGAAAGAAGTATGGCTGGCTATTGTTACATTTACTTCACTCTAATTATAGATTTAAAAATTAGTCTAAGACAGTGGTTCTCAAACTGTGTGTTGGGACCTCAAAGTGGGTTGCGACCCCCTTTGAATGGAGTTGCTAGGGCTGTCTTAGACTTGCTGGGGCCCAGGCTGAAGCTCAGGCCCCACTACCCAGGGCCGAAGCCAAAGACCGAGGGCTTCAGCCCTGGGTGGCAGGACTCAGGTTGCAGGCCCCCTGCATGGGGTTGAAGCTTTACACACACACACACACACACACACACACACAGGGGGTGGGGCTTGGGCGGGTTCAGTTTCGGTCCCCCCTCCTGGGGTCGTGAAGTAATTTTTGTTGTTAGAGGAGAGTCGTGGTGCAATAAAACTTGAGAACCACTGAACTACATTATAAACAGTAACATCTCTAACATTCTCTCTGAAATTGTATTAAATAAACGCAAAAATTGATTAAGCCTAAATTGCATGAAATTCTGATTCAATTTCCCCAACTTTTACCCCCCAAAATTTTATCAGTATCAGAAAACACAGCATACCAGTATTAACACAGTAACTATATATAGTGTAGGCTGTTTTCTTCTGTAAATATTGAAACCTGGTAATTATTACTCTAATCACTTGTTACATTTTGATCAATAGAGAATAAGATTAACTATTCTTTAAAATATCAGATTGTTATTTCTTCCTTCACTTTTCCAAGTTTTTGTCTGTTTGTTTGATTTATTCATTTTTATCTGCACTAGAGCTTGCTAAAACAGTTTCTCGGAGCAT